TAGGGAAAGGGGGACCAGTAGTGAGTTCCATCCTGGTTTCCCTATATATGGTCCTGTTTCGTTTACGTTAAAAAAAAGTACCTCGAATTCAATCTAGCTGTTGTATTTTTCCTTAGTGCTGATACCACTATGTCCAAATAAAACAGAGGAAGAGCTTAACATATTACAAACTCTTAACCTTATAATGTGTGTTTCTTGATATTTATTTGGCTCAAAAAAAAAAACAAAAAACAAAAAACTGTGAGTTCACGGCCTGGAGTTGGTATCTAGCCCAGGTGTTAGCTAAGTTCTCTTAACTTCTACAACCACCTGCACTTTTAAATATTGCCCCACGATGGACTACGTTTCCCAAGAGCACACAGAGAGAGAGGGGGGGGGGCCCTTGAAGTCCATTGTGGGAATTGTAGTCCTGGGTGACTTTTCGTCCAACCCTGGACTCATGCTCTGATTCCGGGATGATTAAACCCAGGAACTACCAATTAGCTGGGGCCATGTCGGTGAGGCCGTGGTCCAACCGGGAAAGCCGGTGTGAGAATATCGCGTAATTATTGGCCAATTCTTGACCCTAGGGGCGGGTCAATAAGGTGGGCGGGAAGGCCGTGGCGATTGGGCGAGGAGCGTACGACGGCGGGCGGGGATTGGCTGCATGCTAGGGCAGGGAGGCCTGGGAAGGGGCGGAGGAAGGAAACCAGAGCAGGAAGAGCAGCAGCGAGGCGGCGGCGGTGGCGGCGGCGGCGGTGGCTGAGTTGGTGGTGGCAGAGGAGAAAGCGACAGCTCCAGCGGGTGGTAGCGGCCCTGAGAGCAGGATGCGGGTCTGGGTTGGGCTGACGTTGCTGCTCTGTGCGGTGCTGCTGGGCTCGGCCTCCGCGTCCTCGGGTCAGTATCCGCCCCCTCGGACTGGAGGCCAGGAGCCACCGCCCCCCCGGCCTCCATCCCGGGGCAGGGCCGTGGGGGCTCCAGCTCACACCTCGCAGTAGCCTGTCACTCGCTGTCATTTCTTGGGCTTCGGTTGGCCTGGGTCAGAGCGGGTGTTTAGGGGAGCTTGAGAGGGGAGGAAAAGAAGGGGCGGTCCCCCTGCTCACACCTCTCCTCACTTCACAAACTTTACACGACTCCTCCCGAATGAGCAGTGACTCCATGGTAATGAATCCTGACAGCTGGCTTAGACCCACAGTGACACAGGAGCCCTTCCGGAGCTTCCACGACTCTCATGTAGATTATGTGCTGCATCGGTTTTGAAACTTTGACTTTGGGATTTGTAAGTTAAGTAATTGGCACACCTGGGGTTGTCTGGGCAGAGCCAGGTCCATCAAAACCAGGATGTTGACAGTGGTTTGGTGGGTTTGCTTAGCACCTGAGATTGCCCTGTCTCTTTGTTTAAAAAATGAAGACTTTTGATGTAAATGTGCCTACTCCGTACCACTTTTAAAGAAATATTCTTAAGAAAGTAGTTTTTTTTTTTTTACTGTGTCACAGTGTTTCTGAGCCACCCCATGTTTGCTGACAGTAATTTTATGATTTTTGAAAAAAAATCTTGGTTCTTATAAATGTAAAATGGATAGCACCTAGATTTAACTTTTTACATAGATAGAGAAATTCATATGCTTTTGATTTGATTTTCCAGTCAGCTGATTTATACCCTGGCTCTGAAAATTATCATTTCTCTTTTTTAATAGTTTAATAGTTTAATCTACCTACATCTGAAAACGTCTATTTTGAGAGTGTTGGTAAAGAAGCATTTAGTGTTTCTGAGTATTGGTTAAAAAACCAATCAACAATAAAGCTTTTGAATTTTAATCAGTTTCAGTTAACAAAACAGCAGTTCTGTGGCTTTAAATTTTTTTTGGAACGAGGCAGGGTATAAATGTCAACTCTTTTTTTTTTCCCCAACAGAAAATTTCCCAGATGGTTATCTGAATCCTCAAATTATCCGTCCTAGTTGTAAGTCAATGCTGTAACGTCATTCTGCTTCTAAAATAAAAGGTCTAAACCTAAAATTCTATCCATAGTGTGGTTTAAGATACCATTTCAAAAGCAACAAGCATATGCCAGTTACTTTACTGCCAACATCATGCTCTGAGGTCCGCCTCCCGCCTTCTAGTGTTGATTTGTGTTCCTGACCAAATCTTTTAAAACTCTGTGTAACTCCTGAAGCCACTGCTAGCAGTTATTTGATCAAAGGAAGTATGAAATCAGTACTGTAGAGTACCTGATGGACCATGAACCACCTGCATCAGAATTCCTCTTAAGGGTTTGTTAAAAACGCAGTTTTAGGTCTGGAACAGGTTGGGGTATCTGTAGTTTAAAAAGCTCCACAAGTGATTCTTCACCCTAAAGTGTAAAAACTACAAATTAAAGAATATGGTGCATATCCCTCTGAATTCAATTTGCAGAACTTAAATAAAATTAAAGCATGTAAACATTTTCCTGCATCTCCCTTTAACTAGATTGCACATCTAAAGCATCATGTTAGTGGAGATGATGCTTGAAGAAGTTTTTTAATCAACAGTTGGGATTCTCCATATATTAGAAGACTGTTAATACTGAAGTGTTAAATCTTTGGGTTGTGTTGATGTACACAAAGGACTGTGTTCACAAAACATCTGTTCTGATTTCCATCATAGTTAAACTGCCAAAACATTTCTCTGGTAGAGGCAAAAATCTTACTCAGCCAGAACTAAAACTATATAGATGTGCATGCTGACCAGTAATAAAGGCACTACTGTTCTCACATGAATTGCAAATATCAAAAACGCTTGTGAGATGAAGTTTTATAAGTTGAGTACATGGATTTTCAGTTGACTTTTTTATCCATTAAATTGCTTATTTATATGGGATATCCGCCTCATTTTTATTTTAAAGATTTACTCCTATTTAAAAATCAAGTTTTGGGTCATAATTTTGTGTTGACATAATGTTTGAGTGTTGGTGGTTACCCAGAGCAAGTTGCATTTATTGCCAGGTAGAATTTGATCAGCCAATGAAGGGAATCTTGATCCTATCATTGTTACTAGCTGTTATCTAATATCTTGTCTTATAGGCATGTAAAAGTATAATACTTTTATTAGAAATGTTTTCTTTTCCTTGTGAATAAATAAATTTAAAGGAGGAGATTTAAAAGATACTACTCTCATTTTCTCAAGATAATAATGAAAAATGCTTTAACTTTTCTCACATGTTTTCTTGTTTTTGACAGGAAGTGGCTTACTGGTTAAAATGGTTGACTTTTTTTCTTTATGCCAAATAATATTACAGAGTCTTGTAAATTAGATCCATTGCTAGGTATCTCAGGTAACAGTTATATTAATTAACACCATGTATTTAAAGAGTAGATTTCAGATTGCAGAATATGTTTCATTTCACTCTTCTTTTGTTCCTTAAAACTTTGTTGAGAGTCAACAAGGCAGATGATATTATTCCCTTTTGACACTTGAGGAAGAGGAGGCTGAGCAAACTTGCTATATTGAACCGTGTGTGCAGTGTTAACATGTTTTAACCAGGTTTTAACTAGAAGCCAGGTTTTGAGCCTAGCTCTCCAGGCCTTGGATTTGGAGTAATTGGGAATCAGCAGTATCCTAGGATCTGCACAGATTCAATGGCAAAGCCAAAGACAGGGTATCTGGTCTCATTTCACTAAACTTGTAAGACTTTCTGTGTTTGAAGATATATCAGTTTGTTTAATTTACATGACAAGTTGGAAAATGAATTTGTAATGACCACTTTTCCCTGAAATAGTATCCCCGGTATTTTGCCGTTTTGTTAGCTGATATAATACAAATGAAAATTGGTCTTTTTCAAAGGAAGGGGTATGATTACCAAAGTAATGTAAACCATGGTATTTTGGATATGATACTCTTGAGAGAAATCCATAGCTCTTCATTTGCATTTTTCTTGTTGCTTGATGTATGTGTTCTGATAAAAGCATTACTATATTCTTTTTATTTATGTGTAACTTCAGTATTTTTAATCCTTACCTGACTGCCTGTCAGAAGTCTCTAGGTTATAAGAAACTTCTTTAAAGTGTTACGTGAATGGACATATTAGTTTCAAAGAGAAAATACCTTTGCTTTAAGATTACCATCTGGAGTAGGCTTTCCCAGTTTAGTAAATGAGAAGGAAAGCTCTTATTTACCAGTAACCTGAGTATATATTCCTAGTTTGTGGAGAGAAAAGAAAGAGAAGCATGATGCCATTCATACAGAGTAACCCCAATGTCACAAGTTCCCATGTCTCTGGGAGTTCAGAAACACATTTTGCTACTCTAATGCCTAACAGCTTGTAGTGTCTCAAATGTACATGTCTTAAAATTTATTTATAGGCATCTATATTATTTACTTATTAGCTACATATGTGAACTATTGTGACAAGGTACTAGTGATTTGAGTTCCAACTAATCTAAAGTTTCAGTATTTGGGGATATACCCTATACATTTCCCATTTAATGTCTGCTCTTGATTTATTAACTAGCTAATGTTTATGACTAATTAAATACATTCACACATACAACTTTGTTATTAGAGATGAATTTTTTTCCCTTTATCCAAAGATCTGCTGAGAATGGACTTTGAACCATATGTTAGAAGTTGGGCTTTGGGTAATACTTGTGCAGAAGTGAGCATGAAGGATGATTGTTCATTAATTGACATCACTACCTAAATGTTATGGGCACTGTGGGACTAATACCTGCTGTACCCTTCTCCTCCCCACCTACCAGAAATAAAATATTTGGAAGGTAATGTAAAAGTAGTGAATGTGAAAATAGCTATAATTTAAGTTTTCTTTGAATTTACAGCACTTTATATATGGCACAACCTCACCAGTAGACTGATTTTTCTCAAATATTCAAAAGAAACAAATACTGTGAAATAGAGTTGGGTATTTGGTACATACTGAGTTGGTTATACTTCTTAAAGTTGGCTCAGTACTTTGGTAACACAAACTCCAAAACATGTTGTTGTTGTACTTCGGAGAGTTACAAGTTACCAGTCATATTTAGGATATAACCATATGAAGTAAAGATAAATGGCAACCATAATACCAAATTTTCTAGTAAAAAAATCACATGGTCTTACAGCATTTTGTCTACTGGTTAATTTCTCACATAATTTACGGAGCTGGCAATACTGAAGCTCACACGTGGATAAAATCAGGTAATTTTAATAGTAAGAAGGAAACTTAGAGATCATCTGACAGTTGTTTTTTTAACTGGCTGGGAATACAAAGATCAAATATTTGTGAATGGCCGTTGGGTTGTTGAATGTGTTTATATAAGAGCAGGAAAAAGAATAGCAAGCAGCCAGAATAGAAGTAGCAGAGAAATGCTGAAAGAATAATAGAAGGAAACTTAATGTAATTGGACAAAACCAAAACAGCCAATATGAATTTGGAAGAAAGATGTAAATAGTGGCTGGATTTATTATTTATTTGATATAAGCTATTGATTTCTTAACAAATAGATCTCTTGTGAGTAAATACATGATAGTGTGATGCTACTTTTTAATGCATATCTGGTTATGTCTTCAGTAAAGTCGAACACGAATTCTAACTATCTTTGGCCACTCTGCTGTCAGATAATAATAATTCTTAATGTCCATCTTTAGTAGTCTTAGTGAACAATAAAATGCTAGTTATCACTAAAATAAGCTAGAGTAACTCCAGATTCTGAGCTGAGGAGAAGAATGGGTGGAATCCCAAACCACAAAATCAGGGCTCTATTTTTATAAATTTAGCAACTCATTCTCAGTAGTGGACTAACTATAACAAAAGAACTGGATGGCATCTGAAGAAATGTCTGGTTTTGGTGGTGGTGGTCTTGGTCTTCCTACCTGTGTACCAGATGAAGCTAATGTCTTTCCTGAATAAAGAGGAAAAAAATATCACCCCCAACACCCTTTTTTCCTTTCACTTAATCTTCTCTGAACAGTTGTTGAATACAACCAATTTTTAGATAATTATAGATTTATTTATCCAGTGTCGTCTTATTTGTTATATTATCAAATGCTTTCATTTAACATACCTGCAATTTCCAAACAAGAAAGATGACTAAATTGTCTTAAAATTTCTTTACAGATGAAGAAGGCAACCAGGATGAATCCTTAGATTCCAAGGTGTGTACTCAAATTTACATTGACCAGTATTTGATGCCCAATTTAAAAGGATGAATGATGTATCTTCAGAAGGATGTGAAATCTGCATCTTTTGAGCAACAGAACTATATTTTTTAAAAAATGGAAAATAAAGATAGCTAGTGCCAATATTAGTTCTTCTGGGAGAAAAATCACTGACCTATAGGAGAGAGAATAATAAATATTTCTAAGAGTGTTGGTTACTAGATTTAATTCCAACTTAAATGTGCTCTGTGTGTGTGTGTGTGTGTGTGTGTGTTGAAGAGCTTGAAGGCAGTTACATTTTTTACTGCCTAATGAGAGATTGATTTTCTTTTTTTTTTTAGTTTTTTAATTTGAAGATTTAACCTCTGTCATTTGTTTACATCAATTAAAAAAAAATCTGTTAATGCACTTAACTTGGTTGATTGAATGAATAAGGCTGATTATTACATCTTCAAAGAGACCAATCAGTTATGATCCCTGATCTCTAGATTGGAAGGAATGTAGGTAAGAAACAGGAAGTTATAGTACAGGGCTGTCATACGGGGAATATATGTCATATAAGATTATATATAAGATATATTGGGAAGAGTAAATGGATATGGAGTGCTCCCAATATATATAAGATATATTGGGAGCAAGTTGGGGGAGACCCTGACCTAGACTTGGGGAATTTAAGGAAGGCTACTTGTGGGGAGGTAACACCTAAGTTGAAATCCGAAGTCAGGTTTAGGCAGGTGATGAAGGCATGTGATGGACACATGCCAAAGTGTATACAGGCGAATGAGTATGACACATTCAAGGAACTGAAGGAGGTGTATCTGGTTAGTGAAAGAAATGGTCAAATGAGGTTGGAGGGAGTCTTGTTAGTAGTGGAAACTAAAAATACTTTATATTGTCAGACTTCTTTGCCGTCAGATGAGTCGGTAGAGGACCATAGTCCAGCAGGCAGAGTAGTCGCTGGTCAGATATTCCTTGATTCAGAAGAATCAGAATTGGAATCACCTATTCAAGAAGAGGAAGATGGCCTCAGAAGCCAAGAAGGGGAAAGTGCCACAGAAGAAATCAGCTTTCTAGAATCTGCAAATCCAGAAAACAAGGACTATGAAGAGCCAATGAAAGTACGGAAACCAGGTAGTCTGGACATTTTGTTTACTTTTGCCTTATTTATGAAGGAGGCAACTGAAATTTTAAAGCTAGTATAGAAGGTGCAGTAGTCCTATTTTACTGATATTCACCATATATAATGTATAGCATATAATTTTACAGGATAAGTTACAGAAGCTGAATTTGATACTCATAATTGCATTTGTATTATATTAGTATTTGAACATTTCTTTTTGGACTTCAGTATGTAACAGTCTGTCAGAGTGGTACACAAAATAGAAATTCAGGCAGGAAGGGTTGTCTGACTTGCTGCTTTGGTTGTTTTCAGAACTGTGTTAGGATTTTTACTACAATAATCTTTTCAGTCATCCTAGGTAATTTGATTTAGTTGTTTATCCTAAAGTTACATAAAAACTTTAATGCTCTTCTAACTTTTGCTTTCTTGACACTCTGTAATTTTTAAACTTACAGCTTGATCTTTCTCACAGTAGAGTGTGCTAAATACCTATTCTTTTAAAAATTAGTTATTAATGTATCCACTCTGCCCTGTCCCACCACCCATCTGTCATTTAGTTTATTATTTCAAAGATCACTGCCATATCTGCTTATTCTGTTATTAGCCAATCTTGAGAATTGATCCAGGTTTTACCTTTTAAAAATATAATTTTTATTACAAATATATATATATATATATATATATATATATATATATATATATATATATATATATATATATATATATATATATATATATATATATATATATATATATATATATATATATATATATATATATATATATATATATATATATATATATATATATATATATATATATATATATATATATATATATATATATATATATATATATATATATATATATATATATATATATATATATATATATATATATATATATATATATATATATATATATATATATATATATATATATATATATATATATATATATATATATATTTTTTTTTTTTTGCAATACGCGGGCCTCTCACTGTTGTGGCCTCTCCCGTTGCGGAGCACAGGCTCCGGACGTGCAGGCTCAGTGGCCATGGCTCACGGGCCCAGCCGCTCTGCGGCATGTGGGATCTTCCCAGCCTGGGGCACAAACCCGTGTCCCCTGCATCAGCAGGCGGACTCTCAACCACTGCGGCACCAGGGAAGCCCCTATTACAGAAATTTTATACAAAAAAAAAAAAAGAGAGAAACCATTTTTTTCTTTGATTAAAAGTACCTTAATCCCATCAAGTAGAAATAACAGCTGTGAACATAGTGGAGAATACTCTTTCAGGCTTTTTTCTAGATGTATGATTTGAAGAAGACTAAACTGGTTCAAAATGTATATACTATTTTACAGCCTGCGTTTTGCACTTAACAGTTTGTCTTGAACATTTTCCCATATTATTTAATATCCTTTTACAATTTAATGGTTAATGGCTATAAAAAATTTTACATGTAAATATACCATAACAATATTTTTTTTTGCTGGGAGACCATTTTAAGTATACCTTTGTACACATCTATGAAAATTTCCTTAGAGTTAGTTCTTAAAAGTAAACCTTAAAAGTAAAGTATAAAATTTGAAAAGACATTTGAGTCATATTGCTAAACTGTTCTGCAGAAAAGTAAGTCTGTTCCTTTTCCTGTACCTCAGCCAAGTGTATATTACCATTTTTAAGTTTTTGCCAAATATTTATTTTCATTCCTTTCTTTTTTGTTAGGGAGACTTCCAAACAAGTACAAAAGTAGAGGGTGTAATGACCCCCATGTACGCACCGTCACCCAGCTTCAACAGCCATCAACACTCTTGCTCTTGTTTCATCTTTGCCACTCCATATCCATTTACTCTTCTTTTTTTCCTAGATTATTAAGCAAATTCTACATTGTTTTACCTGCATACATATCTCTAAAAGTAAGAATTTTTTTCAACAAAATGAAAAATAAAATAGTATTATAACACCCACAAAATTAGCTATTATTCCTTTATCACCCAGTACCCAGATTCCGTTTAGTTTTCCCACTTGTTTCAAATGTCTTTTTGGAATTGGTTTCTGTCAGTCAGTGTCCACACTAAGATGTTAGGTTTCTCTTAATTTGTAACAATTTTCCCTTCCTTGTTTTTAAGTGTCGTTTTATTTGTTAAAGAAAGAATATCCTTTGTGCCATAGGATTTCCCTCGTTCTAGATCTAGCGGGTCATATGCTAGTAATGTAATTGAACTTGTTCCTCTATCTGCTGTCTAGTCTATGAACTGGAAGTTGGCTCTGAAGGCCTGGGTAGATTTAGTTCTCTTTTTCTAATCGATAATATTTATAGTTAGTGTTGTATGCTTCCCATTGCATTACCTGGGAGTTACATAGTATCTGATTGTCCCACTCCTAGTGATTGGTCAGCAAGGTCGGGTGGTGTCAGCCTGACCCAGCCATTCGAAAGTTCCTCATTGACCTTTCACCCAGAGCTTTTGGGAACCATTTCGTTTGTTGTCTGGAAGCCTTATTTCATTAGGAGTTTCTAAATAATGACTTGTTAACTTATCATTCCTCCTGCATTTGTTATCTGGAGTTCTTTTCTAAAGAACTTTCCCTCATCAACTATTTGGTTACCCAGAAATATAATCCACACAGCAAGATAAATGCTTGATTCTTTCCCTTGAAATATTTTCAGATAATGATTTGGTGCCCTAGCAACCTCCAAAAGAGACCAGTGAATATGTTTTCTGTTTGTTTTGCTTTGCTTTTGAGCATCATTACAAATCCATGGGTTTTATACAGCTATGCTTTACTCTTTTGCAATCATTCTTTTTTATTGCTCACATTATTCCATTTTTGGCTCTTGAGAGTCCCTTTAAGTTCATTCCTTTGTCCTTTTGACTAATAGTAGGTAACTTTTAAACTTCTTCCTTTTTAGGCAGGACAAGATGTCCCAAATTCATCTTATACTTTTCCTTACCCCAAAATGAATCTCAGCCATTTCTCCAGGGAATCCATATCCCTTTTAGTGGGAAATTGTATTTATTTTAGATACTGTAATCTAGACACCAAGGATATGCACTGCAACTGAATTGTCATTACTAATAGGCCTTTTTGGTGGGTAGGGTTTGGAAATATAACATTGGTATTGATTATTCTAGTTCAAATTAAATATTACAGGTGAGATAACACAGAGGGTCAGAGTGACAAACTCACAAGAATCAGAGATCCTACCCACTATCAAACTTGACTAATATTTTCAAAGATATAATTATCACAAGACACAAGTCACAGATCTGTGGCTGCCAGAGCTGCTCCCAGGTCCTGTCTTACCTCAGTTAAGATGCACTCTGGCTTATTTTAACATATGTTTTTAATATATGAGGCCTTTGAGTGATTGATATGGAGTGTCACTTCCACAGAAGGGAGCGATTTCGGTTATGAAACATCTCCAGTTTATTCCCTGATAACTGCATGGCTTGTGTGGTATTTTCTAGGAAGTCACGCCTGATAAATACTTACATCCTAGGTTTATGTACAGTGAGCAGTCTGAACAAACCAGGTCCAACCTGGTAAAGGAGTGCACAAGTAAGGACTCTCCTGGTGGTAAATACCTTGAGTGCATTTGCCAGAAGGCCTCTTGTTAGCATGTGTCTCAGATGATTTGATCACGTCACCTCTCTGTCTCTCTGTTTCTTGGGCAGTAAAAAGAGAGAGTGGATTTCAAGTCTGCTGTTAGTCCTTTCCACCCATCAGGATTTTTGCTTCTTTCTTTTATGTTTGGGTCTCCTTGCCCTGATGCTGAAAATCATGGTACCTAACAACATTAATGTTATATTACTTTAATCAAACAAATAAAGTATATATCATTTCAAAATAACAATGGCAACCTTACCACTAACCACTGAATGTAGTTTAAGGTTTTTTTGTGGTTCTTTTTGTTCTTAGTATTTATTTTACTAGTGATTTGTATCAATAATATGACGTGTTTTAAAATCATTTCAGTAATGTTCTGTGTGGTCATACCAACAACTTTATAAACATTCAGATTCACTTGTTTTAGTTTTTCAATAATTGCTTTTTTTTCATTCAAACTTGTTTTTAATGTATTATTAATACATGAAAAGGCTTATGTACATACATATAAGTTGCATATGCATGACTTTTTGTGTACTCCCAGCTACATTAGACCTGGGTTATATGACAGTTACTTCTAGACTTGCTTCCTTTGTCAGCCTCTTATCCATGTCTCTGCATATTGATCTTCCTAAAACCCAAATTTGATCCTATAACTCTCCTATTTACAACCCCCATTATCTTCCATTTGCCTATGAGATGAAGTGCTTGCTCCTTAGCAAGATTCACAAAGCCTTCTGTGTGCATGTGGCCGCCATCTTCTGTGACTTCATCTCCCAAAGCTTCCCCCCATTTGCCCTTTTCCAGCGATGCTAAACCCATCACCCTTCTTCAGAGGCACATACAAGTTCACCTCACTGCTTAGGATACCTTCCTCACCCCCTTGCCCAAATCCATGTATCGCATTTCTGCTCATCCTTAAAGATAAACTTAGGTTTCTCTTTTCTAAAGTAGTTCCTGAACCACCCAAGGGTAGTTACGAATCTCTTGTATATAAGGACTTCTTATCTAGTGTCCCTGTTTTCACCCTTTCCCCTGATGCCAGTTATCTAATAGCGGGCAGACTGATCCTCCTTCCTGTTCACAAGCCACCAATGGCTTCCTGTCACGTTCAGAATAAAATCCAAACAAGGCTTTATGCGATCAAGCCTCTCCTCTCTGACCTCATCTCTCACTCTCGGGACTCCAGTCACACTTGCTTTCTGCTGTTCGTTGGAACATTTCACACTTATTCCCAGTCCCCAAGACCACACCCCAGGCTCGATGATTCTCTGGAAAGACTCACAGGACTCAGCATATAGTCGTATTTACAGCTATGATTTATTACAGAAAAAGAGTACAAAGCAAAATCAGCAAAGGGAATGGTGCATGGGGTGAGTCTGGGGGACGCCAGATGCAAGC